CTCTACTAGCTTATTGACCAAGTCAATAAGACACAAGCTCTTAGATAAGACATTTTTTTTGGTTGCCAAACAGTGCCTTTATATTTGAATATCTGACGAATCAACTACCTACAAATTTCCGAACTTTTCGAAAATTCATGGTTTTTATTTGGTTGGATGGGAAGTCCACTTGAGATCTATTTCTTACTTTCTCCCCAGAATCCAATAGAGGAACTTCGACAACTTTTCGTGATAAATTTTCTTCGAAATGAGCAAAAAGAATTTGACATAGTAATTTGGTTCAAATAGAAATATTAGAACGTATCTGGATGCAATTTTAGGTCACATCGATAAATGTATTCAAAGGGAATTTCAATAAAGCATACACATGTACAGATATGTTTAAATTTCAATAAAGCATACACATGTACAGATATGTTTAACAAATAATTAGAACGGACGCATCCCTGTAGAATTAGGGTTGACCTCCAAATTAGAGTTCAACCTAATATATGGTATTAGTGATGAGAGCCTTACAGGATTATAATACCAAATAACTTAATATTAAAAATAACTTTTTCTTCGTGCATTGAATTTATTCTAGAATTCTATGTAATTAATTTGCTTAAGCCTTTATGTAGGCATGTCTTCACCTATATATATTTTTTTTCCCTACTTTTTAGTTTGCTCCAATACCCTCTACTATCAGGTATGCATCTTGTTGCTTTCTCTTTTAAATTCTCCTTTTTTTTCTTTTAAATTATGTTGTTTTATAAAAGATTTATTCTTGATTTGATTTCACTTTGTTGCTTTGCGCTCATGTCTATTTGGACGGCGGTATGTTTTGATTCTCGAAGTTGAGTTCTTAAAGTTAATTTTAAAATAATTTTCAATTGCAACTCCGTAAAAGTTTTAACTTTTATTATATTTATGTTTATTTGCACTATAATCTCCCAAAGTTTATTTTAGGTGCTGGTATAGCATAAGTTCGTGTTGCCCACATCTATAATGTACTAAGTTGGTCCGATAAATTTAACTGTCGCTCAGAGAATGTAAATACTCATTATAGATCATTATATACCTTTGTTCAATGCAACACCCAGATTTAATCGAGTTTTGAGTAATTACAATTTAGAGAAGAAATTACCCGTGAGAAGATGGAAATTCCAATCAAGATTCACGGTATCTTGCACAAATCCAGCTTCAAAATCCAGATTTGAGAATGTTTAAGCCGACCCCAGGCCCAAATCCACGTTTAGTTTCTAGGATAGATTATAATATTTTCAAGAGCAATATCGAACATATATAATACTATAGCTGAAATACTAGTATTTTTTTTTTTAAATGCATCTGCGACTTTATGGAACGATGGACATCAAGCGTGATATCCAAGGAACATTAAGCATCACATATTAAATAACAGTTGCATTAGCGAAAAATCACAGAACTTGATTTCTACAATGAGTGCCTATAAGAAGAGTTTTTCTTAGGGTTTTTTTTTTTTTTTTTAATTCATGCCCCCCAAATCATAGGTATTAATTTCTAAAAATATCCTCAGAATTATAATCCTTCAGATAAAGTCAAGTTATTTCGTTCCTATAACCTGTTCATGACTCTAATAGGTAAAGTCAAAGTTACTTCATCTCGTGAATCTGCTTAGTTTCACACGATGTAACCAAACAAGAGACGGAGAGAAGTGACGCCGCAGGCCTACCCATGTAAATGGGTTTGTAAATCTAATCTAAAATTTGTTAATATTGATGACTGTTTACAATTTAGGGGGCAATTATGAAATTATAATAACTTGGAGGGTATATTCAGGAATACCAATTATTTGGAGGGTATATATAAAAACCCTTTTTCTACAAAGACGTAATATTTACATACATGCGGATATCTGTACTTTCAGTAAACATTGAGTTCCGTTTTGGGCCTGTTTGGTTATTTTCTAAAAAACCAAGAAATAGAAATGAAAACCACGAAAACTCAAAAAGTACAATTTCATTCATTTCCATCCCTAAATTCCACCCACAACATCTAATAAAATATTATTTTTATCCAACAACTCATCCACCACATCTAATAAAATATTATTATCCAACAACTCATCCACCACATCTAATAAAATATTATTTTCATCCAACAACTCATCCATCACATCTAATAAAATATTTCATCCAACAACTCATCCATCACATCTAATAAAATATTATTTTCATCCACAACATCACTCAACTCATCCCATCTCTTCATTTCAAATCACTCACATCGTCCAATAAGATGGTGACAACTCATCTCATCTCATTAATATTTTATTTCCACCCATTTCCTCCCAAAAAGCTAGGAAAATAATTTTCTTAAGTGTGGGTCACATCATCCAATAATATAATGACATCTCATCTATTTTTTTATTTTTAAGGATGAACCAAACAAAAGAAAACAACATATTAAAAGAAATAGATTTCTTATAATTCATTTCCTTATTTTTTTTCGCCAACCAAACAACATCAAAACAAGTTTTCTTAAAAAATCACTCACATCATCCTATAATAAGGTGACAACTCATCTCATCTCATCTCCATTTCTTTGATTTTCTTCTTTTTTTAGCCAACCAAACAATCCCAAAACCTCTTTTTTTTCGCAAACCAAACACTCCCAAAATAATTATTCTTAGAAATAGTTTTCCATTTCTTTGATTTCCCATTTTTTTAGGCAAACAAACAGACCCTTTAATGAAAACTCTATTTAGAGTCCAGCCCTCTTTATCATATTTGAAATCTTAAGGGGTTCGCAATAATTAATTCAGTTATAATAATAGTGGATCCACAAGCTGTGTCCCCTCATGGCCTGCGGCCCATTATGGCACCTTGTTTCGGTACATGTATATAACTCTAAGAGCATCTCCAACAGCTTCCCCAAAAATTTCTTCAAAATGGGGAAGCAAAAGTCATATTCTCCAAATTATTTTTGCCCCAACTCCAACAGCTTCCCCATTTTAAAGAATCTTGCATTTATTACAATAATAAAAACATTCACCGTCTTTGACTGATAAATAATAAATTATTTTTTATTTGAAACTTTGAAATAATGACTAGTTTCCAACGGTTAGATTTCATATTGATGATCCAAATCATTGATTTAATTAAGTCATCATAACGAGGTGTCTAGGCAAAAAAATCTAGAACATATTCATGTGTATCGTATTGGGAAGTATAGTATTTACGAATTCAAAATGAAGAAAGACAGAAAATCACAATATTTATTTACTTTTGCTAAGCTTGACTTCTGTTTTGTTCAAAATGAAGAAACGTCTGATTTACAACGGCTACTTTGACTTCTATTTTTTATCTATATATATGAGAACAAATCTCGTCACTTTTGTTATCTCATTCTCTCATTCTTTGCTTCCTCATCTTTTTCTCACTTTGAAAATATATTTTATGGCTCGTCGTTCGTTAGCTAGTCGTTATCTAGTTGATACGTTCATGGATGGCGACGACAATATTGACGACGAATATGAAGAATTGTTACTTGCTCAAATAGAAGAAAAAGCGCGTGCCAACCAGAGTTCAAGAGGAGGTCATCGTGGTTCTATTATGGGTCACCGTATTGTTAATCGTGATCTAATTGAGGGTCATGAAAGACTTTGTCGTGACTACTTTGCTAATCCTCCAAAATATGGGGCTCATCTCTTTCGAAGGAGATTCAGAATGAAGCAAGCTCTTTTCATGCGCATTCATGATGCCGTCGTCGCGCACGATACTTATTTTGTTCAAAAGAGGAATGCTGCTGGGCGTCTTGGCTTGTCATCACTTCAGAAGGTAACAGCTGCTTTTCGACAACTTGCATATGGTGTTCCGGCCGATTATGTTGATGAGTATGTGCAGATTGGGGAAAGCACCGCTATTGAAAGTCTCAAAAAGTTCGTCACAGCAGTTGTCGAAGTGTTTGGTGATGAGTACTTAAGGTCGCCAATTATTGATGACCTTAAGAGATTACTTGCAAATATTGGTGATGAGTACTTAAGGTCGCCAAATGTCGAAGTGTTAGCGGTGAATTTTATCTAAAATTTCAGACCACCTTGATTGGTCTGTTGATTTTTGACAAACTAGCCGGGGGCATGTATGCATTGCGCGTGGTCAAATATTTCAATTCTTTATTTTGAGCCTATCATCTCCTTTACGATTCATTTGTTAAGTATTTTATGGTTACCACGTAATATATTGCAGCGAATAAAAATTCAGGAAAGTTACAAATTTTAACAAAATAAATTTATTTCACCCATGCACTTGTATTATTTGCAATATGTTCTGTATGATACTATGTTCTGTATTATTTGTAAAATTTGTAACTTTCCTGAATTTTCAAATACTAAACTTTTGAAGATAAATTATTGTTTATATACATAATCGTGTGTGTTTAATTCATGGTTAAATCATATATATATTGTTGTTTGCAAATAAATTGGTATATATATGAGTTATAATTCATAGTTGAATCATGTATATATTGTTGTTTGCAAATAAATTGGCATATATATGAGTCAACAGGTATGTATACAAAACATGCACAGCGGGCTGTGCATGTTTTGGATAACCTGCAACTTCACGGGAGTTGAACTCCCGTGAAGTTGCAGTCCCAACTTCCCGGAGATCGCTTCTCTGGGGATATTTGACTGTAACTCCACGGGAATTGAACTCCCGTGGAATTTTAAGAAGAAATTAAACTTCACGGGAGTTGAACTCTCGTGAAGTTTAATTTCTCGATAAACTTCACGGGCGTTCAACTCCCGTGATGTTTCGGAAAACTTTTTACAAAAACCGACCTGTTTTCAGCACTGGGCTGAAAACTGGTCGGTTTTTGTAATTATTTTTAAAAACGGTCGGTTTTTACAAATAAAAACCGAAAAAGGTTGGTTTTGAAAATTTATCCTATGGAGTATTGTTTGCAAGATCTGTGATATTTATATGATGTGGGTCTGAAGTTTTGACCTTATTCCTCTGAATTTTTTTGCCCCACTCTATGCAAACTAGTTCCCATATCATTAAAATATTACCAAAAATTATATATTACATGCAGTAGTTACATGTTGTCCCTGTACTTGATTACCCACTGTATTTCAGTGAGGAACATAAGAAAGAAAATGATGTACTTGAAATACCATCACGTTTCAAAATTGCTCCTATCAACATAATCAAATCAATTTCATTGAACGAAGGCAACCGGGGTTCCACAAATTTAATTCCAGGCAATCTCTCCACCTGAGAGGATTACTGCCAACCTAAACGGCAGATCTTGCTGCTTTTGATAAGATTGAAATCCACCTGAAAATATAAAACAGACTTAAAAGTTACAACTATTCCTCTTTGGTAATTTACTGTAAAACTTGCAGACAGCACGGTACCTTCGGTCCAAAGAGGTCCCTGATGTTGTTAATCCCGTATAGAATCATTGTTGGCCTGGTTGTCCCAGAATACATTTAGAAGAGGAAACCGACGTCACCAATGAAGGCAAACATGATGAGCAAAAAGCTCAGCAATTTGATATTTACCACTATTTCAAAACAATTTACAATTGCACTACAAACATTTAGTACAATTGCACAACAAACAATTTACAATTGCACATGTCAGAACAATATTCAAGAATTATTTGGTGAGAACAACAATTATATTAGTTACTACACTTGTAACTTAAAGATAATAAATTGCAGAAAACAGAAAAACCCTGCAATATAAGATCAGCAGAATTAGCGAACCTACTTGTCCACCGCATTCCACATATGACCTTCTTATGTTTAACATTTTTTGCATGGAGAACCCCATTCAGCACATGACCCCTATTCTCAATCTGTAGAAATCTAATACAGCATGAAGGTTTGTTGCAAAAACCTCTATAATGCAGCAGTTTTTCTGCAATTACCCTTCGTTATATTCCATATTTTAGTCAAATTCAGATACTCCAGTTTGATCAATTGGTCAAATACTCCATGACAAATATGATAGCCAAACAACATTTGAATGGTGATTTGATAGAAAGTTACCCAAGTAGTAGGAATCCTAATAATGCTAAGCATATAGTTTTGTATGTGGCTACGTGCTACTTTTCTTTAATATACGAATAGTTACCTCTCTAGCGAAAGACCCCATGCAATAACAGAAACATCCTCCGGGAACCCCATGGTGCGCAACATTTCAGGCCTAAACATGCCAGAATTGCCAACCTCCACCCACTTGTCCAAACCTTCATGATAACTGAAAGAAAACCAAATAAGCTTGTAAGTGCAAAATCATATAAATGAAGAAGAGCAATACTGCGGATGAACTCGTGCTTTTATCGTTGCAGATAGACCACCCAAGTGAATTCTTTTTTGGACTCTTTTACCCTCAGGAGGTCTATTCGTCAAGTAAACAACTTTCTTTTTTCCCGAGGGAAAAAGAATAAAAAAAATTTTCACTCAGGGGGTATATCTGCAACAATGGAACTACAGGAAGTCCATCAGTAATTGAATGATAGTACACGAGGTCTACCAGCAATTAACCCGTAAAAGTTAAAACAAAGGGCAGAAAGACGGAAAAAAAACTTAGGTGCTATTATTACCTGAAGATTTCCATGCTTGGTTCAGTGTATGGATTATAAGCGGGCTTGAACCGCAGCTTTTTCATGCCTACATAACGAGGAAAACAGTATAATGTATCAATTTTACTAAAGGATGAGCGCGAAGAACCAAGAGCTCATAAGGAACGGGATTTTGCGCACATGAATGGCAGATTCCAGACATAAATTGCTGACCACGATGAAGTTGCAGCATAATAATGTAACATAGGATAGAACTGATAAAGTGGTATTTGAAGACTTGAAGTGCTGACAATGAATCAGGTACAATGGAGTTGCATGGTGTACAGTATAAATCATTCAACATAAACCATAGTTGAAATGTACCATAACCAAAAGTACGATCTGACAGATGTGTGTAAAAGTTGAAGTAAATATTTTCCTTTACTTTGTGAGTCGTGCATAATGCACTATTTTTTTCCTTTCCTTTTTTTTCCTTTTTTGGAGATCGCATAAGTGGGACTGAAACTCCAACTTCTTGCACTCAGCAAAGTGATTTTACCAATGATCTACAATGGCACTTGCAAACTTTTCGAATTTGAGATGGCACGATAGATCTCAAGATTTACAAGCAAATGTGTTATACACTCTACAGGTACAAGCCAATATACTTGTTAAGATCAGTAAGTATGATATGGACCCGTTTATGTAGCTACACAGACTAAAGAGGATCATTGATGTTTAAAAAAGTTGTCAAACGGTGTATAGCCCCATAATTGTAAGACCTACTATCATAGTTCTTTAGTTAATATCCTCAATTTTCATCCTGCCAGTACACCATATAAGTAGTTATGAGTCACAAGCAATCTTTCAAATGGATAAATATGCTGACTGCTGAGGAGGCATCAATTGTATAAAATCAGAGAGGGAAGACTGCTGTTATTTAATATTTAAAGGGATTGTCATCAAATTTGGAGCTCCCACATAACACTAACAGCCTAGTTGATACAATATGCTAAGATTTTCTATACTATCAGTATCAGTAGAGCCATATAAGAAGCTAAAAAGATAAAGCTATGATAAAAAGGGTAAGTTATTCGTATCTTTTGAAGTTAAGAATTTGCAGCCATACACCTTCAGAAAAGTCAGCGCTAATGGAAATACATGTGGGTTGAATAAATATACTTGGCACTTTTACTAGAACATAGTGTTGTATGCGTCACTTGAGATGATCAGAAACATCAAGGAACTCAGCAGTGAATGCTAAAAGATGATATGCAGTCAAGGAACCACTAACATAAACAAGACAACCTAGTGGGAACATGGTCTCCAAATGCTAGTTAGATAGAGCTCCAGAGCTACACTTTCAAACCCCTTTCTATTAGCATAAAAGACCACTAAATTCACATTACATGCTTTCAGCCAATAATGAAATCAAAATGTTTAAGACACTAAAACAACGAAACACTAAATAGATATAGGGGCAAAGTAAGATGCTCTTTTTTCTTTTGCATAAATGGCACTTCAAGTACGATGCAGATATAGTCTTACCAAGGGAAGCAAAGAAATCATTCAACACTCCAATCAGATGACCAAGTGTGAGATTCCGATCACATATGACACCTTACAAAAACCAGAGTTAGTGGAGCTGCAAAGGCTTGCTAACACCTTTACTTTTTTTCTTTAAAATATTTGGATCAAATATATGATTATTCATTAATCATAACAGCAAAGCAGAGGCCTACCTTCTATCTGATGAAACTCTGCCAGATGAGTTCGGTCAACAGCCTCGTTCCTGAAAACACGATCTATAGAGTAGTATCTCTTGGGAGTAAAAGGCTTCTGGACATAATGACACATCAATTAGAACTCAGTTTTTCTGATATTTCTGATAAAGTGATTTTGATATGGCATCAACATAAAATTTCAAGAGATTTCTGGTTCAAAAATTACCATCGTCAAAATACAGTTGTTTACCCTCCTTTTCTGCCTTTCTGACGAAAGTTTAAAACTGAAAGTTTTCTTTTTTTTTTTAACGTAAGGACCACAAAAGGGAATAGAAGTATTATTGAGCTCCATATACATTTTTATTTTTCCCAACAGCTAGGGGTGTCATTCGGGGGCCAAGCCCAGTTCGCCGTCGGTTATTATATATATATATATATATATATATATATATATATATATATATATATATATATATATTATTATTATATATATATATGTGTGTGTGTGTGTGGTTGTGATGTGAGAAGAGAGAGAAGAGGAGAGAGAGGAGAATGAGTATGTGGTAGTGAGGTGTCCTATTCCCATCACGCATTCAATTCTCAATCACTCCCCAACCATATGAATGTGGCCCCGATTTCAATGAGTGGAGAGGAATATGCCACCTCACTACCAAACACAAAAACTTCTGCTTGGTACCAAGCATACCCATCTCTCTCTCTCTCTCTCTCTCTCTCTCTCTTCTCTCTCTCTCTCTCTATATATTATATATATATATATAATATTATATATATATATATATTATATATATATTATATATATATATATAGTATATAATACTTATATAATATATATATATATTATATATATATACTCTTGCATGGCTATAGATGCTAAGGTATAACAATATAAATATATATAATATAAGTTTACTTATATGTGTATATTATAGAACTACAGTTATATAAGTATATATTAAGTGCATAAGTATAATTATATATAAGTATATTACATCTAGTATATATAAAAGTATATCATATAAGTAAACTATATAACTGTACTTAAATAAACATAATGTAAATATGTAACAAATACATATATAACTATATAATACGTATTTATAAATAAGTAATATATATTTATGTGATTCTCTCTCTCTCTCTCTCATGTTATAATTTATAAGTATATACAATATGTTTACATATAATATATGTATATATAATATATAGATGTACACACACACACACACACACACACACATAGCATGGTATAGATGCTAAGGTATAACAATATAAATATATATAATATAAGTTTACTTATATGTGTATATTATAGAACTACAGTTATATAAGTATATATTAAGTGCATAAGTATAATTATATATAAGTATATTACATCTAGTATATATAAAAGTATATCATATAAGTAAACTATATAACTGTACTTAAATAAACATAATGTAAATATGTAACAAATACATATATAACTATATAATACGTATTTATAAATAAGTAATATATATTTATGTGATTCTCTCTCTCTCTCTCTCATGTTATAATTTATAAGTATATACAATATATTTACATATAATATATGTATATATAATATATAGCTATATATATATATATACTCTTAGCATGTATAAATACTAAGATATAAGAATATAAATATATATATAACGTAGTTATAAGTATACTTATATGTGTATATTATAGAATTACAGTTATATAAGTATATTATATAAGTGCATAAGTATAATTATATATAAGTATATTGCATCTAGTATATATAAAAGTATATCATATAAGTAAATTGTATAACTGTACTTAAATAAGAATAATGTAAGTATGTAACAAAGACATATATAACTATATAATACATATTTATAAATAAGTAATATATACTTATGTGACTCTCTCTCCCTCTCAAGTTATAACTTATAAGTATATACAATATATTTACATATAATACATAGCTATATAATAATTTGTAAGTATATACTAACACATACTTATATAAATATAATAATATTAATCTAATTTTTAGCAAATTTTTACCAAAAAAAGAAAAAAAAAGAAAATGTCCGGCCCGGTGCCCGGCCCGCTCGTGTTGGACCCGTTTGTCGGGCTGGGCCGGGCAGGGCCAGCCCGTTTGGACAGGCCTAACAACAGCTATCTTTTGGGTATTTTTGTAGTATGTTGAACATATACTAGATCAAGGACACGAGGATCACATACATAAAATTTAAGCTTTTAGTGTAGAGACTCTGAACAATGACATATAAGTTAGACGTTGAAATCAAATATTAACTGAAAAAATAACTCGCAAAGAAAGAGAATTACATTGGACACATTGTGGTGCTTTTTGCTTGAGGGAAGGAACCGAAGGATATTTTACTTTTGGAACTGCTTTGACCTAAACATAGACAGGAATAGTCACAAGACGTTGACACTTGACACATTGATGGGTTGGCTTCGGGTCCATGTGGATACCCTAGGCTATGTCCTAAAACCAAACAGATGGAGCAAATAATAGTAGGGGGCAAGGATATTCTTTTTCTCCTTCTTTCTTTGTCAAGTTCGACGTTAAATAAGGAAAAAGAAAACAAGTAGGTCGAAGTCCCTCGTAATAAAAAAAGAGAAGTGACTAGTAAAAAGAAGTTTGAACCAAAGCCCTCAAAGTCCCAGACAATCAGACTCAAAAAGACCAAATAGCAAGTAAAAGTGTCTAGTGAAAGAAGTTTGAACTCATAGCCCTCAAGTCCTGGGCAGCCAGACTCAAAAGATCATAGGAAGTTTGAACTGCAATACTTGTGATTATGCCAGAGTTTATAGTCTACCAGACTTCAACAACAGCAATTAACAAATATACACATATATGTACATACATATACATACATAATACACACACACACATACATAAACACACAAACACATGAGATTGTATTGCATAGCACCACTTTAGCAAGTGGGCATAACTAGCTTGGTTATGCACTAGGAGTTTAGCATATCACACACGTGAGTGCACACGCACATATAATCAAGGTTGTGGTAAGCAGAAAGCTAAATGAAGCAGTGAGGCACCATTTAGGCTTTTTGGGGCTTAAGCTGTTCAAAGCGGAAAAAGCACCAAGGAAAAAAGCAATCGAAATCTTCTTAAAATTTTAACATGGATAACTCAAAAAATAATAATTTAAAACTTTGCAATTGTAACTAGAGATACTCGTTCATAATTTTACGCATTCTATACAAGTATACAACCATGCAAATGTAACTCAAATGTGTAAATTTCGTTTTTTAAAAAATTCAGATTTTCAGTGCTTTTTCTGCTTTTCTGCGCTTTTTCCGCTTTCCCCCACTTTGTTGAGGTTTTGCAAACAAAAAGAGCCAATGGTGCTTAACACCACCACTTAGCGGCAAAGCAAAGTGGCCAAGGGCTGCTTCTGCTTTAAAGGCCACTTCTCAACCGGTTTTGGCTATATTTTACAACACTGAAGATAAGTAACCTCTCCCCAACCCATCCATACATTTAATATATTTTATCAATGATAAACTTAATAGAAAAGAAACCATGACAATAATACATATTAAACTCCTTGATGACTAAACCCAACTGAAGCTGATGTTGAAACAATATTATCCTCATTTGTATAAAAATGCATACGCTCAAAAATCCTGTGCGAAAGAACCATGTTAACATAATGGCTCCCACACCGGAATCTTCACATGATGCCAGCCCCGCATGTGTTCGCATGCACGCATCCGATAAATTAATAAACTATTGCTAACTTATGATGTTTCAATAATTTCTAAATCCTTTGATAGATACTTGAAGCATGAAAATGAGCATAATTGAGAGGCTCTGGTGAGAAAATAGCAATCTATTACTCTATTATAATTTATAAGTGTAGGCAGAGCCAAAGCAAGGAAATTGAGAGTCAGAATGGACAGATGCTGACCTAGGCCCATTCCAAGCCTGGCATTCTGTTATGATAGTCTTATTGCTCTTCATCTTTAGATTTCACATAAAAACTTAGCAGTTATACATCAAATTATGTTCATGTGTGTGTTGTACACATGTCAGACATTATTGAGAAACAATGGTAGACAACATGCCCACTTTGAAGAAAAGAAAAGAGAACTTTCTACATGGTTAACATTAATGAATTAGTCATAAGAGTGCACCTTCTGAGCAAGTAGGTAAAGCATTCTTGTGGAAACTGCGGTCGTGTGAGTTCGGAGGAGATTTTTCTCTGCTTCTTCCCTTTTCCATCTATACCTATATCTGTAGAGGACATAAGTTTTGTCAGAGATTTGTTTACAAGCATAACATAATCAGGTTATTAGCATACCCCAGGGATCCATAACCACCAATCTCATGGACTTGTTTTACTTTCTCCAGGTAATCTTCAGGTAATTCTCGTGTGGTAGAAGGAACTGCAAGAAAGGAGTTTGTTACTCATCTTTTGTAAGTGCAAGAGGAGAGATGGATCAAATTTAAATTCAAAAGCAACAAACCTTTAAGAAAGAAAGTATCATGTGAATCACGAGCAGGGTGCTGTTGAGGTTGGAATAGTGCATCAAAGTTCCAGAAACTACAGACAAGAAATCAAATTGATCATAAATTCACAATTCAACTACCAGAGAACATTTGAGAGTTTGAGAGCACAATATTTCATGCATAAGTAGCATCACGAAGAATAAATAAAAAAGAAATCCGTATAAACTGGCAAAGGGGCCTCAGTAAAGCCTCTGTACAGGCATGCACTGTTTCAAATATTGGCCACTACTACTAATATTAGCCCTGAAGTTTACAATAGCCTTTTGAGAGTGCATTCTCAGCTACAATTTTGGATGGGGTTTACACAACATTGAAAAGCTGCAAAATCAAAGATCATGGTTCATATTGAGCTTATGTGCCTGGTAATCATTTTCAAGGTCTTTACTAAGGTAATCAAATAAGCTAAATCCCCACACTGAAATCCACGACCCAATTTCTCTTCCCTGATTCAACGACTCAAAATCTTATCACATCATTTGTATTCTCCCTGCCCTAATGAAAGTACTACTGGATCCTCTATTGAAGCCGACAACCGATGCTGCATTTAACCGGATGCTTGGAATCGCCACCCACCAATCACTTCTTTTCCCTTATTTTTTTCTAGGTGAAGTCCCTTTGTTACTACCCTAAAAAAATTATATTTCCCACAAAGCTTTGCTGCTGTTCAATGCAGCATTGGTCACTCAACCAGTCACGAACATCGCTGCCTTTGCTGACATGAAGGTGACCAACTACAGTTCTCCATCCATAGTCCTTGTTCAGATTTTTCCTTCTGAAATATAGTCTTCGATATATTGGTTCAAAAGGCATTGCAGCAGATGGCATTACGTCGTGTTAAATTTACCCTTCATTAGCGGTATGGATATGGTAGAACACAGGATTGTAAAAAGATAGGAAATGGTATGCTGGGTCAGCAACAGAGAAGTTCTTATTGATTGGTGAAGTCAATTTAGGTAGATAGGTGACATATAGGGCATAAGCAATTAGTCTTAGCTTAAGCATTCACATTTAAAATATGTTAGGAATTAGGATACAGCTATTTCATATTGGTTCAACTACACAACTATTTCGCCAGCTGAGCACAAAGGTATGCAGCTAAGAAGAATAAGATGGAAGGCAGAGAGTTTAGGCAGACTTTGGAGAGAGATTTAGAAGAATAAGATGGAAGGCAGAGAGTTTAGGCAGACTTTGGAGAGAGATTTAGAAGAATAATAAGAGAGTTTGAGAGATCCTCTTTATAATTAAGAGTGTACTTTGTAAAATATTCTGGAAGATAATAAAGATATTATTTTACAAGTTGGGCGTCTCAAATTATAAGCCCTTCCAAGGTTGCTGATAGCGGATCGCGGCGCGTCGCGGCGAGGTACCGCTAAGGCTATATCGGGCTATTGCGGCGAAATCGCGGCAAATAGCGCATAGTCAAATAGTGGTCAAATTTAAATATATTTAAATATCCTAAGCGAGGTACCGCTAAGGCTATATCGGGCTATTGCGGCGAAATCGCGGCAAATAGCGCATAGTCAAATAGTGGTCAAATTTAAATATATTTAAATATCCTAAATAATAAGAAAATTCATAAAAAAATCTAAAAATTAAATTAGTTATAAATTTCTTGTATTATCAATAAATAACAATTAATAAGCTTGTTGTATGAATGAAACTATGAAGAAATTCAAGAAATATAGTATCATAATATGTGTGATAGCAGGTTTAGCGGGTTTAGTCGCTTTTAACAACAAAAATCCACTTTTAACCGCGAAAATCCGCTTTTAACCGCGAAAATCCGCTTTTAACCGCGAAAACCCGCTTTTAACCCGCTAAAATCCGCTTTTACGCGCTATTCAAATGAATAGCGGATTTTTCCGCTTAAGCCAACCGCGAAACCCCTACGCGTAGCGCTGAAGGGCCACGACCGCTATTCGCGCCGCTATAGCCCCGCTATTGACCGCTATTTACAACACTGAGCCCTTCTATCTTTTATTTTATTTTTTGCTTCTTGCTTACTTTTGGTATCAGAGACATACATAACTCCTGATTGAGATTTTACCAAAGTTAACTCCTGATTAGTATTAATCGCCAATTTCTTGGCTATATAACTTCTTGAATGATACACTTACTAAAACTTGGTGGAACATTATGGTTCTCACTGCTCCAGAAATGGGTAATTCTCATTCCTTTTTGCATTATTAATGTCTTCATCCATGCCCTTGATTTTAATGATAGGGTAGGATAGTAACTGTCATTCAGATATTTCTGACGAATTTTATTTGGATCATTCATCATTGGAATGTCCTCCTGTTCTAGCCCAACTTGTAAAATAATATCTTTATTATCTTCCAGAATATTTTACAAAGTACACTCTTAATTATACAGAGGATCTCTCAAACTCTCTTATTTCTTCTTCTAAATATCTCTCCAAAGTCTGCCTAAACTCTCTGCCTTCCATCTTATTTATAAGCCATAAAGATACCTCACGAAGCTTCTGCTTTCTTTCTTAATATACGGCTTGAAAGGGACGTGGCATCTTCTTTATATCATATCAGCTTTTGAAAAGTATACCTTTCTAAACGTACACAGTAATAGCATCTTCTTTTTCGAAAGTTGCTTTATTAAAGCTTCTTTTATAAAGTGATTCTGATCGGCCATTAATAAAGGAGTTATACTACTTTAATTATTGGGACTACAAACAGGCTTTTTACAACATATTCTTATATCAGAATCATAAGAACAAACATACTTGGCTTATTAAGATTTGTTCAGAGGCCATTAATAAAGGTTGACCTGCATGGTTCTATCACTAGTGGGAAACTAATGGAGCTGAGTTAAGGATAGTTTCTGAACCAATTATGAAGTTATACTCCTCATGGGTTGATTCTCATTCAATTATCTCTAAAATGGATGAAAGCCAAATCATAGATGGCTTATGCCTTATTTATTTCTTTGCTGAAGCAGAAATTCCATGGATATGGACTTGGTCCTTCGAATCTGACTAGACTATTTCTCATTTGTCAATCTTAAAAAAAAAATTCTACTGTAGATGATGGACTGACATTCTAATAGAAGAAAAAAAAAAGCAATTTGGGGAAATTATTAAAAAGAATAATACTATTCTTGAGACTTCTCTGACTCAAGAAATACAGAAAGAAAATCCTATGATTAAAATAGCCAAGATGATCAAGCGAAAATATCCCCAGGCCTCTGATACAGAAGTTTAGCAAAAATGCTTGGAACATTTAAAAAAATAATTCTTTGAAGCATTTGACACTAGTGATACTAGAAGTCATAGTTCTACTGGGGAAGATACCCATATTCATGATGCCCAAGACCCAAATGATATGTGGGATGAAGCTATGGGAGTATTGCAAGATATTAATATGCCTAACATTAAAAGTAAAAATATTGCTTGATAAGCACTAGAAAATTCTGATTTGAGCATCAGGGAGCCGATCAGAATCACTTTATAAAAAGCTACTTTATAAAAAAAGATTTAATAAAGCAACTTTCGAAAAAGAAGATGTTATTACTGTGTACTTTTGGAAAGTTATACTTTTCAAAAGCTGATATGATATAAAGAAGATGCCATGTCCCTTTCAAGCCACGTATTAAGAAAGAAAGCAGAAGCTTCGTGAGACATCTTTATGGCTTATAAATAAGATGGAAAGCAGAGAGTTTAGGCAGACTTTGGAGAGAGATTTAGAAGAAGAATAAGAGAGTTTGAGAGATCCTCTGTATAATTAAGAGTGCACTTTGTAAAATATTCTGGAATATAATAAAAATATTATTTTACAAGTTGGGCTAGAACAAGAGGACATTCCAATGATGAATGATCCAGATAAAATTCGTCAGAAATATCTGAATGCCAGTTAATATCCTACCCTATCATTAAAATCAAGGGCATGAATGAAGACATTAATAATGCAAAAAGGAATGGAAATTACCCATTTTTGGAGCAGTGAGAATCATAATATTCCATCAAGTTTTAGTAAGTGTATCATTCAAGAAGTTATACAGCCAAGAAATTGGTGATTAATACTAATCAGGAGTTACCTTTGGTAAAATCCCAATCAAGAGTTATGCATGGCTCTGATACCAAAAGTAAGCAAGAAGCAAAAACAGAAATAAAAGATAGAAAGGCTTACAGTTTGAGACGCCCAACTTGTAAAATAATATCTTTATTATCTTCCAAAATATTTTACAAAGTACACTCTTAATTATACAAAGGATCTCTCAAACTCTATTATTCTTCTTCTAAATCTCTCTCCAAAGTCTGCCTAAACTCTGTCTTCCATCTTATTTATAAGCCATAAAGATGTCTTACGAAGCTTCTGCTTTCTTTCTTAATACGTGGCTTGAAAGGGACATGGCATCTTTTTTATATCATATCAACTTATGAAAAGTATAACTTTCCAAAAGTACACAGTAATAGCATCTTTTTCTCGAAAGTTGTTTTATTAAAGCTTCTTTTTCTAAAGCTTCTTTTATAAAGTAGCTTTTTATAAAGTGATTCTGATCGGCTCCCCGAGGCTCAAATCAGAATTTTCTAGTGCTTATCAAGCAATATTTTTACCGTTAATGTCAGGCATATTAATATCTTGCAATATTCTCATAATTTCATCCCACATATCATCTGAGTCTTGGGCATCTTGAATATGGGTATCTTCCCCAATAGAACTATGACTTCTAGTATCACTAGTATCAAATGCTTCAAAGAATTGCTTTTTTAAATGTTCCTAGCATTTTTGTTGAACTTCTGTATCAGAGGCCTGGGGATACTGCCGCCTGATCATCTTGGCTATTTTAATCATAGGATTTGCTTTCTATATTTCTTGAGTCATAGAAGTCTCAAGAATAGCATTATTCTTTTTAATAATTTCCTCAATTTGATTTACTTTTTCTTCTATTAGAATATCAGTCCATCATCTACAGTAGAACTTTCTTTTTAAGATTGGCAAATGAGAAATAGTCCAGTCAGATTCGAAGAACCAAGTCCATATCCATGGAATTTCTGCTTCAGCAAAGAAATAAATAGGGCATAAGCTATCTATGATTTGGTTTTCATCCAGTTTAGAGATAATTGAATGGGAATCAACCCATGAGGAGTATAACTTCATAATTGGTTCAGGAACTATGCTTAACTCAACTCTATAAGTTTCCCGCCAGTGATAAAACCATGCAGGCAAGCCTTATTAATGGCCTCTGGGCAAATCTTAATAAGCCAAGTATGTTCTTATAATTCTGATATAAAAATATGTTGTAAAAAGCCTTTTTGTAGTCCTAATAATTAAAGTAGTATAACTCCTTTGTATTTTGGGATTTTACCAAAGGTAACTCCTGATTAGGATTAATCGTCCAATTTCTTGGCTGTATAACTTCTTGAATAATACACTTACTAAAACTTGGTAGAACATTATGGTTCTCACTGCTCCAGAAATGGGTAATTTTCATTTCTTTTTGCATTATTAATGTCTTCATCCAAGCATTTTTGTTGAACTTTTGGTATCAGAGCCATGCATAACTCTTATATGTCTGTGTAAATCTATTCTTACAGTTTATCTTTATGATTATTTGCTAATAAGTATGTAGAATTCATATATGTTCTTGTCATTCTCTACTTAAGATCTTAGTTTAAAAATTTTATGGGACGTCACTCAAGTCACGTAGTGTAAAGCCCTATTGTTGCCGGGATGGTTTGTTATGGTAGTGTAAGTTGTTGACAGACGTGTAAGTTTTTTAGCTAGGTTGTTTGGTAGAGAATAAAAAGAAAAATATAAACTCTGCATCCTTATTGTTTAATAAGTCATAAGATAAACTAGTAAGAATTTAAAGGACAGACATAGTTGAGAGTTCATCAGCTTAGAAGTCCAGTTATACTGGCAGAAAAGTTAAAAACACACAATTGACAATAA